TCAATCAATGGAAGGGTAACTGATGTGATACAGCAATCTGTATACGGGTAAAGTTGGGAGTTCATAATCCGCTTGAATCAAACTGTGAAATATGATGTATTAAGAACTATGTAATGTTTTGAACGACCAACAATAAAAAAAACCCAAAAAATAGCAAACCAAATTCAGCACAAAAAAATATTTTTGTCTAAGCAAGATTATCCCAGGAATGTCAAGATGGTTTGACATCAGGAAGAAATCTAACATCATATTTAAAAAAAAAAAAGCCATAAGACCCTTTAAAAAAAAATCAGTAGAAAACATTTTAAAAGTCACAGATATGAGGCAGCCACTTTATAAAACAGTCCAGAAGCACCTCAAAAGGTTAAAGGTAGTGTTGTATTATGCAGTAACTCTACCCCTAAGGATAAAATCAAGATAAATGAGACATATGTTGTCACAAAGTCTTATATATGAATGTTCATAGCAGCATTATTCACAATAGTAAAAAAACAGGACAAAGCAGATGTCCACTACCGATGAATGAACAAAGAAAATGTTGTATATCCATAAAATTAATATTTTCTACCATGAAAGTTCTGATATATACTACAAAATGGATAGACTTTAAAACATTATGCTAAGTGAAAGAAGCCAGACAAAAAAGGCTTCTTATTTTATAATCCATTGAAATGTTCAGAATCAGGCAAATCTGTAAACAGAAATTAGATTATTTGTTGTGTAGGGCTGGGGAGCAAGACAGACTGAAGGAATAGGGAGTAACTCCTAATTGGCATTACTATGCACAGCGTTCCTGTTTAAGACAATGAAAATGTTCTCCAACTGATGATGGCGATGGCTGTACAACTCTATCAAAATTATTGAACTATACACTTTAAATTACGTATAAGTTGTGCGTTGATCAAAACCAAATGGTATATGAATATATGAATTAATCTCAATAAAGATATTATTTAAAAAAATACAGCAGATGCAATTTTGGCTTCACCTGGGTTTTTAAAAAGCTATCCTAAAACACATTTTTAAAATTCATTTATCAGAATAATTGAGCTGCCTAGCATTTTGCCAAGTTAAGGGCCAGACATGATGAACCTAGAGTAATCATGGAAAAACTGCAACCCTGAGAGAGAGAGAGAGTTCACTGTTTGATGTGAGTTGTGATGTGCCAGTGCAAAGGAAAGACAATGCCACAAAGAAAGTCTTATGGTCTTTTGTTTTCTCTATCTTCTGCCATGGAGAAGTATCCTAATTCAATGGTGAGAAAAATGTCAAAAAACTTAACACAGAAGCTGATTTTTATCAATCCTGAAAATGTAACTTCCCATTTGCTCACTAAGCTATAACCACACAGGTCTTCCTAATGTGTTTTGATGCATTCAAGATACCTTGGGCCCTTTGTACCTGCTATTCTCTTTGAGTCCTCACTCACCCTCCAGGTCTCTGCCCAGTACGCTCTATCACATAAGCCTTGTCTCTCATTACTCTTTTATTTTCTCACATCACATGAAATTCTCATGTGTTTATCAATTCTTTTTTTTTTTTTTCTGTCTCTTCACCAGAAAGCAAGTTCCATGAAGACAGACACCCTGCCTCTCTTGTTCTCCAATACAGACCTGAACCTACAACACTTCTGAACAGGCAGTAGGTACTTGACAAATAATCTTTGAGTAAAGGATCTCCATGGTACAAGTCATAACCAACTTCCATAAACAACAGCTGAAAGGTCAATCTCTGTGCCTTGACATCCCACCTTTTCCAGGAGTCCAAGGGCACTGACACCCTGCAGATCAGTTTATAGCCACCTCCTGGCTGAAAGGGCAGTGGCTCATACTGGAAACACAGTTGGCCACTAAGGACTTCCCGTGCTTTCAGACTAATCTTCCCTCACCCTGGTTCCAGGTCAAATGGCGGGGCATGTTCAGGAGCTTCTCCTGTGGGTTTATAAATAAGTCTGCCCTCATGGCTGGTTTTAGACTGGCCCACATGGCACCTTGCCCTCAGTTTGCTCAGTTAATAGGACTGGTCCCAGAAAGATCAGCAGAGAACAACCCAGGACAACTGGGGTGTAAGAAGCCACACAAATAACAGTTCAATCCATCATGCCCCAGGGTTAGGAAATGTCCATTCTTATTAGAATTGCTATGTGATTTATTGTTCTTGTATGTCTGTCATTTAAATCAAGTGGATACCTAAAACATTAGAGTATTTACAACCTTTGTCACTTAGTGCTTCAAAAATTAATGAGTGCTGTTACAATTTTCAATTAATGCTCAGTTTGTCTCTATTTGGTGTATGTTTAAATATCCAGTACCACTGAAAAGTTAGGTAAGAATCAGTTAAAGAACGTGTCTCAAAGGCCCGATTCCTTCCACACTTCATGAGGTCCTCGTGAAACCTTGCATTAATGATTGGGCCAAATCTGAGAAGACAGTCATCACATGGAAGAAATTAGAATTTTGTTAAGTGTGTGTGTCCAATATAAAAATTAAAAAGTGAGCCAAGTGCGATAGCATACACCAGTAATCCCAGCAACTAGGGAGGCTGAGGCAAGAAGATTGCAAGTTCAAGGCCATACTAAGCAACTTAGCAAGACCCTGTCTCAAAATAAAAGAATAAGAAGGACATGGGTTATAGCTTGGTGGTAGAGAGCCCCAGGATCACCAAAAAAAAAAAAAAAAAGTCTAAAGGACAGAGAGACCTTGTTTTTCAAAAGCTTAAAAAAAATCCAACAGTTATATTCTAAAACTGAGAGAATTAAGAAAACAAGGCAATAGAATGATTTTTTTCATATTAGGCATGAAAAAAGTGTAAACATTTTTTTTTTCAATAATGGGTATAAACCCAGCACTTGACTTATGCTCTGCAAGTGCTCTACCACTGAGCTGTACCCCTGGTTCTTAATCTTTCCTCTTGATAAAAGGTTTTTAAATGTGGAATAAGAAAATAATCATGGGCAATATTAAATGCAGCAATAGGGACATAAATGGAGCATTATTATTAATAAAAAAGGATTAAACTCTAGATTTTAATTATATTATTTTAGTAACATGTTACTGTTTTCCTCTGGAGGGAATCTGACACCATAGATTGGGAAGGCTCAAGACCTAAGTCTTCCAATTCCTGGTTATGGACTCAATCTGGCATAATCCCCCTAAGATTTGGTTTCTTCATGGGTAAAATGGGGACAACACACACCTGTCTCCTAGGATTATGGTAAGCCTTATAAGGCATACAATGCACATGTAGTTCCAAATAGGATCATAGCACAGGCCATCTACTTTTTCCCCCCTCTTTGCTTATATGTCATGTTTTCCTAAAAGAATATATTTTAAATATTTCCATTTCAAATTCTTAAGTCTTTCTTGGTAGAAATATTTCTCTTTTAATTTCCCAAGGTTAAGAAAAACAATCTACCTACAAACTAATGAAGCAGGTATATAAGAAAATAAACACAAGCTATCATTTTGTATGTCAAAACTGTGCTTCTGGGATGTTACGTGTGGTGCATTAAAATAGAAAAATATAAAATTTCACATAGGCATAGATCCTTAAAAATCAACTACACTTATAATATGACCTACAAATTTTAGTCAATATACTAAATAAAAACATTGTTTAAAAATCAAGAAGTCTTATAACTCAGTAGTGTTGATTTTGAGGGAAGAACTTCCAATTCAATCATTGTGAACTTTATTTATAAACCATACAATACTGACAAATGCACAATGTTGTTTTATTGTAATATTCTGTTGGCTTCTAGAATGAATTGGTGATGTCATCAAATTAAAAATCACTCAACATATTAAAATACAAATCTTTATTCACTGGAATTTAATTTGAAATGCACATGTAAAGTCAGCTTTCTAAGAAGTTATAACAACATACATAATAGACATTAGGTCAACAAATAAAACAAACAAAATTTTTAGAAGTCTCCCCACAATTTCATCTTCCAGACTTTGGGGGGTAGTAGTAGAAATTAATATCCAACTTTTTCCAGTCATATTCAGAATTTTCCTGCTCCCTAGGGGAAAAAAGGAGAAAAATATCCACAAGTGAACACATTCATAATCTAGATTCTTTCCACTCAACCTAACATTTGCATTATTAAAATACAGTGATGAAGGAACTTCTTCTAGGGAATACTTTGTACCTATTTGTAACCAAACATGAATTAAAATATTTTCCCCCATATCACTTTCACCATGTCATGGTCATCATGGTTGGTCTATATGACAAATGCTGAACTTCCTTTCATTCTAAAGAAGAGAAATAGCTCTTTTCACATCATCAGCAGTTTACTTAGGAGAGATCTTCAGTTATTGATCACTTGATCATTTTATTGGAATTTGTGAAGTTGCCATTCCTCTAGCTTGTACAGTTGGTATTACCAGGAAATGATGATTTGAAGACATGGAAAAGGTAGGTAATGACCAAAAAAAAAAATTTCCCTAGTGTTTGGGATCACACCCAGAACCTCCCACCTACTGGGCAAGTGCTCTACCACTGAGCCATGTCATCAGCCCAAAATTAAAAACAATAAAAAGTTTCTCCTTCTTTGACCTTTCCTCAAGTTCCTCCTTCATGTTTTGGTCACTGAATAGGATATCAAATGCTTCATTTCCTCCATGTCTCTGAATTAAACTCACCTGAAATATACCCAGGTAATGATAGGTAGCACAGCTCCTTGTTGTTTTGGTTTTTTTTCCCCTCAGTCTGCTCTTGCTAGGCCCAGTACATTCAGCACAGGTGGTCTCCTAGCAACCTTGGCTCCTGTGTCAAAGCACATTAAAGGGTTTAATTGGACCTTGAGGTAGTGGAGGGGTGGGGAGCCCGCCTGCAGAAACTCTAAAATAACTTTCAAAAGTAGACAGGAAGGAGATGTTGAAGAGTGGGCTTTGGAAAAAATGTGACATTTTAATTTCATTTCATCAGACTGTATGGCTAAAACCTGAACATTTAATAGAAACATTCAGCTGACTTCTAGAGTTTTCCTGGCAGGGCAAACATTCACAATTTTTAAAGAAAAAAGTTCCTAAAAAAATATTTTAAAACAAATGCTTCAATATCTTCATGGCAAAACAACACTAAAAACAAACAAACAAACAAAAAACTTCTGTATGTAAGAGAGTAAGTAACTCATCAGATTGTATGACTGATTTTTAAATTATAGTTTTAGGATTTTGTATCACTTTCAGAAATTAAAAAATGGAAGAGTGAGTTTATAACAACAGATTTTAAAACATGACTGCAATATCCCTCAACCATGTAATTCTCCTTTGGCTAATCTATGCTAATTGAGACAGAGCTGAGAGGGCCCCATTCCCCAACTCCTGCCTAACACAAGCTTCTTTCAAAAAACACGTTTCCACTAATGACCAGGTTCAGGACCTGTTGATTCCTCATCACACTTTCCCACAACCCCCACAAGAGCAGTATGCCTGAACTTGACCTCTATATGACCTTCCTGAAGTAGGGGTTATTGGCACCTCAACTGTTCTTTTCCCAGCCTATTTTAGAAGACCCAGTGCACAGGAGCAGATCCCCAATGTCAAGTGCTGCTCCCAGTGCTGAGAACAAAGAACTGATAAGACATGTGCCTGCAGGAGCCCACCTTTTTGTCTGTATAAGCCCACCCTTGCTTCCACACGAGTCCACCTGGAAACCCAAACCCCTATGCTACTCTTTTTATGCTCAGTAAAGCCTCGTTCCATGGTGTTGCTTCCCTCTTCATCATTTCTGTCTTGAATAGAGCAAAACAAGTCTAAGCTGAGCTGGTAACAGGAATGGCATGTCTTAAATATAAAGACTTTGTGCTCAAAAGCCTTCACTGCAGTCTTTTTGCCTTGCCCTGACACCACACCACACCTTTTCCTGGTAAGACATTTTTTTAAATTTTAAATTTTTAAATTTTAAATTTTTTTAAATTTTATTTTATTATTTTTAAAGAATCCTGATCCCAAATGATTGTTACAGATTTCTGAGTTTTCCAGATTTGGAAAATTTGTTATATCTACAGAATGATATATCTTAGGGATGGGACCCAGGTCTAAACTAGACATTCACTTATGTTTCATAGCCTGAAATGTCATTTCATACAATATTTTTAGTGCACCTGTGGTTTGACTGCAACCCATGGCATGAGGTCAAGTGTGGAATGTTCCACTGGTGTCACGTTGGTGTTCAAAAAGTTTCACACTTTGGAGCATTTTGGATTTGAGGTTTTTGGATTAGTAATGCTTAATCTGTAATATTATACACATAGAAAAGTAGATAAAACGTAATTGAGTAAGTAAATAATAAGTCATAAGTTAATAAACCATAAACTTAAGATTATTACAAGATAAACACATACATCATATCCCTCAGGCATATCCACTGTGTCATTTTCATTATAGGAAAAAAATTAAAAGCAACAATAAGAAAACCGGCTAAATAAACTATGAGTTCACCACAAATGGAATACCATTGTCCATTCAAATGATGATTATTATCAAATAAAATCATGGAAATGCTACTTAGAAAATATTTAAGTGTGATTATAACTCGTACTTATGGCCACACATTACATTGCTAAGTACAACCTCTAAGGTAACATCAGGTTATCTGTACCAGGACACACATCCAAACATCATTCATAATATCTTCAACAACTCAAGTGCCTATTAGTATGTAGGCAAACTGCAGCAGAGTCACACAATGAAATATTACACAGTAATGAAAATTAAACTATGGCTACAAAACAGGGATCTCACAAACATACTATTGTATTTTTTAAAAGCAAGGAACAAGAGAAAACACACCACTTAAGTACTTTTGTATAAAGTAGAAAAACAAGTTAAAGGGCATGGCTCAGGGGTGTATGTCTGAATTGCCATAGTATCAGTGGTAAATTATCAAGAAAAAAAACCAAGATTGGTGGCCATAAAATCAGGGTCATGGTGCCTAAGTGAGGGCAAGGGAAGGGAAAGGCTGGAGCTTCATTTCTTGTTCTGTGTGGCTACCCTGGCAATCACTTCCAACTATTTGTTAAACTGTGGGTAGAAGTTTTATGTGCTCTTCATAATAGAAATAATAATTTTTAAAAGAGAGGAGAGAAATACATACAAATATCAGTATGATCATAGCAGTTAAGGTCGGTGAAGCTGTTCCTATTCCTCATGCCCTTTCGTTTAGAACGTGTCTGTCTCTATTATATCAGAAACTACAGAAAGTGTTCTTATTGCTCCTGGTCTTCTTCCCTCTTCATATATTTATTTTTTAATTATTTATTTATTTTTTGGTACCAGAGATTGAACCCATGGGTGATTAAGCCATTGAGCCACACCCCCAGTCCTTTTATGTTTTGTTTTGAGACAGGATCTCTAAGTTGCTGAGGCTGGACTAGAACTTGTTATCTTCCTGTCTCAGCCTCCAGATTGCAGGTGTTTGCTACCACATTCGGCTCCTCTCCATTTATTTAAAAGTAATTTATCCTGATTGTAACTTTCTCTAAGCAATTATTTTAACAAACGTGAATCAAATAAAAATTACATTGTCAATGGAACATTTTAATGAGAATGTGTAATTTATATGCTCAACAACACAAATCTTTCACTGAAGGACACATTCCTGTCTCATTCGAAATGCTCATTAAAAACAGGAATTTAGGTAATTCCTGTTTGGTTCTTCCCCTTGTTACTATGTATGAATCATTGGAAAGCACAAGTTTATATTATTCCAAATTTGTTAACAAACACAGATTTTACTGATGATTAAAATTGTAAGTACTCTTTAAAAAAATTTTTGTAGTTGTAGATGTATAGCATGCCTTTATTTTATTTATTTATTTATCTATCTATTTATTTATTTATTTTTATGTGGTGCTGAGGATCAAACCCAGTGCCTCACACATGCTAAGCAAGTGCTCTGCCACTGAGCTACAGCCCCAGACCAATACTTTGATTTACATTCATTCTGACAGCTAGAATCTCAGTAATCAAGTGGTATTTCTTCAGGATGTAAGGGAAATTCTTTCAGTAAGGGAAGCTATTTAATAGCAGAAATTTTCAGAAAAAAATATTTCCTAGTATTTTTATCTAATAAAATATATACCAAAAATATGCACAGAGTTCAAACAAATTAGAAGACTTTAAAAACTATGCTGGAACTTATTAAATGTGAATCTCTCAAGACATTTGCTTTATCTTGAATGCATAATTTTAACATCATAGTTAATTACAGATATGGACCATAGTTTTGGTCTATACCTGTTATCCTGGGTACTCAAGAGGCTGAGGCAAGAGGATAACAAAGTTCAGACCATCCTGGGAAACACAGGGAGACCCTGTCTCAAAAGAAAATAAAAGGGGAGGTGGGTGCAGCTAGTGGTAGAACACTCATGTGCAAGGGCCTGGATTCAATCTCTAGTACCAAAAAAATAAAAATAAATAAACATAAAAATAAAATACATCTAAGTGACATGACTTTCAGTTTCTGCTATAACATGCTTGGTTATTCTGGGCCAAGTGTACCTTATATTGAAACTTCACATGATCACATTTTCCCCTCTCATTTGAATGTGTCTCCCTCTCTTTTCCTCATTTCCTGAGGCCACTGTGAGTCAATTTATTATTTTATTTATTTATTTAGGCACTGGGGATTGAACCGAGGGGCACTTTACCATTGAACTACCAACCCAGTTCTTTTTATTATTTATTTTGAGACAGGGTCTCCCTAAATTGCCCAGGCTGAACTTGGACTTGCATTCTTCATTGTTCAGCCTCCAAAGTAGCTGGGATCACAGGGAATGCCACATACTCTGGCCCAGTTTGTTATTTTATAGAAGGTCATATTGAAAGTAGAACCTCTCATCTAGTTTTTAAGACTTTACTTTTTCTTAACTCCATGAAGATTTAGGTGCATCTAATTCAAATTGACCTGTTCATTGTTTATTGGACAGCTGACTAGTGACATCTCACACAGTAAGCTAGACAGGTAGAAGGCGGAGAGTAGCAATAACTCTTGGTTTCTAGAAGCCAGACTTCATGGTATTCCTTGTTCCTCACTCGGCCACCCGCCCGTGCCTTTGAAAGCTTTATTATCTTATTATTTTTGTATTAAAATGTTTCCCAAATCCATCCCAACTCCTGGGACTACAAAAAGAATACATTTTCTAAATGGCTTGATCCACTGGGAGCAAAACAAACAACAATGACAACACTTATCCTATAAAAGTATTACTACTTTCCTTTTCTCCATTTCTTTCCATCCTTACCATGTCCCTTTCTTCAATGTGAACTTTTGGTCAAAACAAAAAACAGAACATACTTGGAAAAAATCTCTTTTGCAATCAAGAGAATAATACTTTTCACTGAGTTCAAGTTTATAGTCTTAATGGTATATGTTACATTACAAAAATATCTTCTTTTTTCAAATGAGGTGACTTTGGAAAGAAACTGTAATACAATGGAAATTGATCGTAGTGAAAAGGAACTATCCACATAATTAATACCCACTCTTCTTATTTGATCCTGGCTATTTTCTGTAAATGTGACTGATTATTGAACAATGGATGGATTGTCAAACAATGACCTCTCTGGGCCCAGAGGTTTCAGAATTTGACAGAACATCTTTATAACAGTGAGCCATTCATTTATTCACATGAAAACAGTCTGCGCTTTGTCCCTGGGACAGTCCCTAGACCACAGCTACAAGTTCACTGTCTAGCAACAAGGTTAACTAAAAGTACAGTTTCTTATTTTCTATTTGTATTATCTAATTTATTATTGTTTGTTATTGATGTTTTTGCTCTTGTTTATAACCACTGGTGGACTTATAGCGGACAAGGTTTCTCCCATGAATCCTCTGAAAATTAACTAGACACAATGAGAATGCTCCCAGGAATTAAATAAAGGTCCAGAATCAAACTAAGATTTGAATCTCAGGTATGCCACTTATCATGAGATCTTTGGCAAGTTATATTAACTGTCTATTTCTTAGAACTTGTTTAAACTGAGGATGACAAAAGTCCAATTTCATAGGATAATGGAAGAATTAAATGAGATAATACTTCTGCCTAGAAAGCAAGCAATTACTAAGCATTGGTAATATTGTTAATTACATTCTAGCCTGCTACCTACTAAATTGTACCCCTTGAATGAAACATTCTCAGGCTTTTTTTTTTTTTTTAGCATTTAAACACACAGATCTGTCAAACTTCTACTCATCTTTTCATTCTCAATGTTACCTCCTCTGGGATCCATTTCAGAATTTATATTCCACTTTTCTATAACAAATGTCCAGTCACAACACTATGTTATATCCATTTCCATGCACTAAACCATGGACAATTGCTGTCTTTCTAGAAGTTGGGAACAGGCTTTCCCATCCTGAATCCTAGTCACAGTCTCTGGCAATAATTACTTCTCAGCTAATATCAACTTAAAAGCTGCACTTAAGGTAGAAGATTTCTTGGAAAACTGAAAGTTCATTTTGTTCAAATGACAATCACAACAAGAAAAACATATATGTAAATGTAAAAATAAAACCCCAGTGTCAAGTGCTTTCATCTTATCTCCACTTGCAACATGTCTCCCTTTCCCATAAAGATTATGTTCAATAAAATTGTCTTCTTAAAACTTGTGAAATCACAGGAAAATTTTGTTGATGCTGTTGCTTTTCTTGTGTTTTTTTTTTGTTTGTTTGTTTGTTTTGTTTTGGGGGTGGTTTTTTGCTTGAATTAAGAAACTAAGTTAAATTGTTGGAAGGCAACAACAATGTAGCAGAGGACCTGCAGGGATTCAGGATAGGAGTATCCTTCTGGGATGGCCACTGCTTCTATAGCGTAATGAAGATGTTCCCTCATTAAGCTCCTCAAATTCGAGTAAATTGGGAGTTTGTTGAAAAATATGCATATTCAATGGTAAATGGATTTTGAGTGTTCTGTAAGTCTCTGACATGTAGTTCAAGTTTCATTTTCTGAACTAATCAAAGTGCCATTAAATTGTGCCCAAAGCTGAATTATATCAGAAAGAAAATTTTAATATGACTCTGAGAAATTTATTATCAGTGCCTTGATCCTTGTATGGGAGAAAGCTTGAATGAGAATAAACAAACAGCATATGTATTTGAATGATTGCAGCCCTAATTTTTATACTTTGTTTCCTGATTAGAAATGATTTCAAGGTGACTTTGCTCTCTCCAGCTAAGAGAAACCATAGTAAAATTTGAAGTAAAAAAGAAATGTTGGCAACAGAAATGACATTTGACCTTTCATAAACTTCTCATTTAGCAAATGAGGCCCAGAGACGTATAGAGGTCACAAGGAGTTAGCAAAATACACCTATTGGCAAATATTTACCTTGACGATAAATTAGATTCTGTGTTTCACCAGACTTGGCTATTGGGAAAGAGTCTACCATCTCCCAACATCATTGATTCCAGCCAATGTAAGAACAGAAAGTCCAGAATAAAGTAAATCACAAACAAAAACTGGAAAAATTGGCAGGTCAAGGTCACAAGGAAAAAACTTGTCAAAATAAATTTTGAATGTTTTGTCACAGATGGTCAGTCCTCAAGGTGGGAGGGGGAGAGAAGGTAGGATCTAGAGCCTTTTGGAACTGGTTTTAGATCCTATTTCTGGCACTGTTAGCTCTGCAGCCTTGGACAAGGCACTTGACCTCAGAAGCTACTTCATCCAGAGAGCAGAGATGACAACATCTGTCTTGCATGGGTCTGAAAGGTTTTAATTCAAAACTAAAGTTAAGCCCATACACACTTTGATTTCCATTCCATAAAACCTCATGAGGGGGGTTATTAATACCTCTGCTTCCTTAATCAAAAGACCTAAGCCCAGGGTTAGCCATTCTATCCAAATGTCCTATCACACATTTAGCAAGAGGTGACCAAGGATTTGGATGGAGATGTGTTTGCATCCAAAGCCCACAGCCTCAGCCATTGTAGTTTCACAGCACTGGTAAGAACTCAAGCCAGGAGACCAGCATGCTGCCTGCTAATCCATAAACAGAGCTTTAAGGGAGCAGCAGAGTCAGCCAACTGTGATGAAGAATGGAGCAACTCAGACTGATGAGTGGAAACCAACAATCCTTAAGACATGGAAAGCCCTCGGAAATTGTGACAAATACATAGTCGGAAACAGCAGAGCACTGGCCTGCCTAGCTGTACTCACAAGAGTCCCCTGATTGCCTATAGGCCCCAGGGAAAGGCAGGACTGGAATCACTGTTTCTCATCTCTCAGACAGAATCTCTCATATTTTTTCCATGTCAATGCCTATCAGTTTTGACTTTCCCAAGCCATCTATGGCCATGCTTCAAATGTTTCAAGTCAATGCTCTGGGCCTAACATGAACTATTTTTCAATACATGAACAAAAGTATCCCCTTAATCATCAACAACTAGGAGTCCTGCAGGCTGAGATTTCCACCTGCCATATTCCCACAAGAAATAGATTGTGCACTGCCCCTAAAATGCATGAATTACTCAGTTATGGGCACATGACATTTAGAGATATTCTGGTATCAAAATAAACACAATGTTATCAAACTTATCTGTGCAAATTTCCCAACCCTCTCCATGAATCACAGCTGTAGCAAAGCCATACGAAATGCTCAGAGCCCTGACTGGGAAACAGAGGTTTTCTGACAGAGCCCCCAACACAGAGGCACCAACCAAATCTGTCTTTCAAGAGATAGGAAGAAACAGAAATGGGAATGGGGGGTGGGATTTGTTAGATTGGTGGGGGTTTCATCTTCAGAACTCAGCTGTTAGAAGTGTCCTCCCTGGTTTGGGGTCAAGGAACAGAGAGTAGGGAATCTCTGAACATGTGTGAGTTCTCAAGATCATTTGGCAAAACCTCTTCAACTGTCTACTGGGCATATACCACATACCCTCCTGCAGAGATTCATGGCTACCATCTTTGAATGCTTTCTAGGTATAGAAATGATTCTTCAAACCAGCTGGATTTCATGTGAAGTCAAGCTTAGTTGAGAAAGTAGATGGCTTGAGGAACAAAATTTCAAGTTTCAATCAAAGCCTATGTCCTCCTTTAGAAAAGAAGGGGCTTCCAACAAAATGGGTGCTCAATCATTTTTTTTTCTTTTTGACAGGGGGGATGAGGCGTGACATGGAGATATTGTTCTTCTATGCCTCACAAAGTTGCTACTTTGAAGATGACACCCAAGGTGAGGCCCTGAAAAACACCAAATCATGAGCAAGCCCATTCTGGCTCTTTACCAGAGTTGTAAATAAAATGGCTTCTTTCTCCATATTAAAAGGCTATGAGCCCCTTCCTGGCCTACCTCTGTATCTTTCACCTGGTAGGAAATAAGTGTGTCTTTGCAAAAATGAAAGCTTACGGAGGAAAATACAAATCTCGTATCTCCTGATTCACAGGGTAACCGCGAGAAGCAGGTACACCTCAGAGACAACTTTCCTTTCTGTCTTACTTAGACACAGAATGGAATCCAATTTGGCAAGGCAGGAATCAGTCTTTTGGAATCATAGAAGCACAGTAACTAAAAGAAAAACTTTAGGATGCTGATTATAACAGAGCAGGTAAGTTTATGAAAAGCAATAGCTTATTCTCTGAAAGGTTTCTGGAGCTTTCTATCATCATTGAGCTTAATTATAGCCTTAATGTTCTGAGCTGCTAAGACCCCATCTTCCACCCACCCATCCTCTGTGTTGCATGGCTTATGAGTTTGAATATGAAACAAATGAGAGATGATCAGAAAGATTTAAGAAAATTTTGAAGGATAATTCTATAAATAACTTTAAGATAGCTTTCGCTATACTTGACCACTTACATACATTATGAGTAAACTGGACAACCCAGATGATTCCCATTTCATGAGGGTGGAAACTGGAACTCAGAGTAATTGATTTCTGCTTGCCATCATACAACTTATAAGTGGTCCAAACCAGGAACATATATGCCCCATTCCAAGTCATTATAATACCTCCCTTACACATTCTATCTGGAAGCCTGAGGCACATGTTTAGGGACTGAACATATATAAGCAAAGTAGAAAGCTATGCTAGTCTGTGGTCCTGAAGAAGGACTGCAGTGTCAGGTTTCAGCTCTGCTGACAAGGAGCAAGCAAAGTGTCTATCTCTCTAGACTCTAGGACTCTTTTCCAAGCACAGTGACCTGCTTTGCAGGACTCTCAGAAGCAGTGGTTATAAAAGAAGACTGCAGACACAAAGCCTTTGGCTAAAAAGCAAGGAAGCAATGGCCCCATGCAAAAAAAAAAAAAAAAAAAACCAGCACTCTCTCTCACCCAAACCTGGAATGTGGAACAACAAGGGCCCATGTCTCCCATCCAACCCCCGCCTCTTCATGTTACTTTTCAAATGTGAAACTTCTCTGTGAAATTCTGTTTGGAGAGGAAACCAAGGAGACAGGAGTACCAAATCTGCCACAGGGCTTAGTCAAGTAATTTATATATAGTATTATTAATCCCTTGCTTCTTCTTCTGCTTTTATTTAGCCAGAAAGGAAATGAAAGGCATGAGATTCTGATCAATTAATATTTCTCATAATCCACCTTATAAAACTTGCTGAGATATTGAAATGCAGGAAATGGAAAGGGGCTTTGTGAGTCTTAACCTTCTTCTACCAGAAGCAAACAAGAGTCCCACTTAACTTTCCTCCTACACCAATATTTTAAAATGCTATAGTTTAAAAAGAAAGAAAGAAAAAAAAAAACAGCACTTACTGTTCAGGGGTTTAGTAAGCAAAGTCCAAAGTCAAGAAAATGATCTCTCTTTCTGGTGAAAAATACCTTACACTCTTGGTGGATCAGGAGCTCACTGGGCTGTTATTAATAACTGGCTTAGAGCTTTATGAAGAAACATGAGCCAGAATGTCATGGAGAAGGCAAGTGGAAAGGAACTGACAGACACAGGTGGAATAAATTATGGCAAAAATATCCCATACAGCAGCTCAAATAAGCCACCAGGAGGGAATCAGCTTCTCCATGATCAATAGGCCCTGATGTTAAGTGCTCCAAGTTCCACAGCCAACCTACAAAAATACCCTTAATATTGAAAACACAATGGTTATACTCTGCTCTGCTGATCACTCCTTTTCTGTAGATAACTGAATACATTTTTAAGTGTATACATTTGCCTTATTTATTTTGACTCCCGTTTTCAAAATATATCCGCAAAGGGATTTTCAAATTTAAAAATTTTTTTAATTTTTTCACTTTTTAAAAATTTGTTTACCTCTTAGCTCATTAGCCTCCCTTCCTCCAGGATCCTTAAATTATTCCTGGAAAAGTACAGTTATGTGTGGGATGAGGGGAGTGGGCTTGGGGTTGGTGCCATTCATAACAGGAAACCTGCAAAACCGATGTGGTAGAAACAGGAGTAAGAGTCATGACCTGGTATCTGATCTGCAGTGACTTCTTTTGAAAAGCTACACTTTAAAAAATTTCAAAACTGTATCTCCTCCCTCCACAGTCCCTCAACTGACATCAGATCATTCAGATCACTAATAGTGTGTCTTTAGACCTAAATGACAGTGAGCACTGGCTCTGTCGTGTTACAAAGAAAATTGACACTTAGACAAAAGTTATTGAACTATATTAAGGTGCATCATCTGTCTTGAATGGAGCCATGGTTGTGAAAATTGCTTCATTGTTAAGCTCCACTTGCCTGTTACCGTAGCACAGGCCTAAAAACTCCATTTTTTCCAAATTAAACCATTTTTCAATGACACACTGTGGGAATGCCTTTCATTATTTTTTTTTTAAATTTTTCTCAGTGGACCACTTTAGAAATCTTGACTGTATACTGAATGTATGTACAGTTGTGCATTAATGATGATGTGAAATGCATTGCCAGGTGATTCGCTTGCTGTGCAAACATTATGGATGGTACTTTCACAAACCAAATGCCTACACACAGGTCAATCACTAGACAAGGCCTTGAGATGTGAGTAAAAACTTTGCCTCTAACACCCATTTTTGTTGCCAAAGGCAGATCTCTCACTTTTATTAAATTTCAAAAACAGTCATAGTTAAAACTTACCACTGAATAACTGAATATCAGAAATGAAAAAAAAAAAAAACATTGCATGGAGCCAGGCGTGTGGTATATATCTGTAATCCTAAAGACTTGGGAGGCTGAGGCTGGCAAATTCAAGACCACCCTCAGCAACTAATGAGGCTCTAAGTAACTTAGTGAGACCATGATTCAAAATAAAATAAAAAGGGCTAGAGATTTGGCTCAGTGGTAAAATCCTCTGGGTTCAATCCCCATTACCAAAGAAAAAGGTAGGGGGTTCGGGGGAAGGAAGGAATAAAGAACATTGCATGGAATTATGTATTCAAGCTGTTTTCAAGATGTTGGTTTTGTACAACTCTCCCACTCCTGGGTATTTTCCCAAAAGATCTAAAATTGGCATGCCATTGTGACCCAGCCACATAGTGTTTAGCAGCACAATTTACAATAGCTAAATTATGGAATCAACCCAGATGTCCATCGCTACATGAACAGATTAAGAAATTGTGAGAGATATATATGTGATATATAGACATATAATAACACACAATTGAGTTCTACTCAGCCATTAAAACAAATGAAATAATTATAGAATTTGCCAGTAGATAAAATGGAAATGGAGACTATTATGCTTAGTGAAATTAGTCAAACTTAAATTCAAAGGTCAAGTGTTTTCTCTCATATGCAGAAACTAGAGTAAAATAAAAGAAAGTGGGTGGAAAGGGGTAAGATTACACAAAGAACCAATCAAATACAAGTTAATAGATGAGCAGAAGGAAGTCTAGTAGCCTAGAGGTAGGAGAAAGTGGAGAAGGACTGGTGAAGAGAGGGGGAAGGAAAAGGAGGATCAGGAACGGAAATTGACTTCCATGCATGTATGAGTTTGTCGGGATGAACCCAACTGCTATGTATACCTATAAAGCTTTACTAAAAAAAAATTTAAAAAGAAGTTGAGTTGGGGTTTTGTTATTAAGCAGAACTGATCTTGAAAGATGTGTGTTGAGTGAAGGAATTGGTGAACCTGAGTAAGAAAACTAAGGAAGGGTTGGGGATGTAGCTCAGTGGTACAGCACTTGTCCAGTCTGTGTGAAGCCCTGGGTTCAATGGGGCGATGTTCATATTTCCTTAGCAGAATACACAGGATTCCATGTGATTGAGCTTTCCTTCAGGAAAGAAGACAGATTATTGCAGAAACATGTATCCAAAGTGAAGGCTACTGGCAATTTGTATTGAAAGGACTACACTTCGGCAATAATATTTACCAAGAAAGCAACTTCCTGTCTTTCATCAGCACAATATTTTTAAAGAGATGAGAATGTGTTTGTGATGGCTGGGGTAGTCAGGAGGAACTGACAAAGAATGGTCATCTAAAGCTGTTGCCCTACCTAGCTCAATTTTGGCCCAGTTACCATTTCAGTGCAAGTTGGGGGGCCTTCTTGTGGATGATTTAAGTGTGGATCTCACAGGCAGACAATTTTGGATCTGACAGATACGTTAACACATTTCCAAAGTGGGAACTTGATAAGTGTGAAATACATCAGCAATTCTTAACAAATCAAAGCACTCCAAAGGAGATTATATCAAACTCAGAAAAATGTGGAAAGGTGATATTACATCTTTTAGATGCAGCATTTGCACACCACTGCTTCCAGGAAAATTAAGTCAGTTTTGAAGAATGCAATTTTGTTTGCATTTTCAGAATATGAACATTGAAAGAGAAAGATGGAGATATGGCAAGCTAAGTTAACTTCTACCATCAGAAATTAATATTGTGGCAATCTTGATGCTGAAAAACTTTGTGCTATTACTTGGATATAAGGTGTCCCCTAACGCTTCTATGTAAATGCAAGAATGATCAGAGGTAAAATTATTGGATTGTCAGAGCTGTAACCTAATCAGTCCATCCTTGGAGCCACATCATTAGGTTGACCTTGCCTTATATATTACCTTGATTTATGTCATGTTGCCCAACTTGGAGCGATGCATTGTACACCTGAAAGGCTTCCACAATCAGTCACCAACACCCAGTAGAGAGAAAGGCCATCAATGTAAAAAGTACCCCAAATGTGCCCAAAGTTGAACCTTATATTTCAACAAAATTGAAAATCCACAGAAAAAATAAAGACTAATGTTGTCCCTAATCTAGTTCTTCAGCTCAGACATATTTATTGGTGTCTCACTATAATACTTGGATAAATGTAAGTATTATAGTGAGACACCAATAAATATGGTGTCTTTCTTCAGAAGCCTTCATTATTGGTGTACCAGGGACTTCCCAGCTACTATGTGAATTCAATTCTTTTCTCCTTTTCCTCCCTTCCTATTTCTGGGGCTAGGAAGTAAAGACAGGGCCTTACATATGCTAGGGGTAAGCACTACCACTAAGCTATATTTCCAGCCCCTACCCAAATGCTCTTATGGTCCCAAAGTTCCATGAGGTGAACCCCAAGCATAATGACAGCGATAACACACCCCAATTAAAACATCAGAAGCCTGTGGGACTCCTTTCATAAGCAAAGGGAAGCCCCAACCATGCCAACCCTTTTATCTATAGAAATCTGTAAATGGGAACAGAAAGGGAATTGTCACATTCCACACTCAAACCTACCCACCCAGGGACCCCACCAGGGACACTCAGGGGAACAGGGCTGTGCGAAATAACCACACAAGAGACAGAAATACCTTTTTCTTTGGGGGTGCTGTGACAGCTTCTCTGACTTTAAGAAGAAAGAGAGAGAACAAGAGCTTGTGCATGCTGACTCCTTTTATTAAGGAGAAGCCATTCAAATGAGGCAAGGGGTCAAGTTTCTAGGGGCTGAGTCTAGCTTCATGATGTCTGCTGTCAGCAGGTTGACTGACAGCTAGGAAGGCCACACCCAAGGGCAGAGTGAGAGAAGGGGACATACAAAGGGTGTTTCCATGGAACATTCTATCTCAAACAGGGCAAGGGGTAATATCACAAAGGAACAGGTGAGCGAGCGTAGCCCCACCATGGGGCTGCAGGAAGGCACGCCTAGACAGGAAGACACATTTGGTTGCATTAATTCTACTCTCAAGATCTATAGCTACTTAAAAGCAACCAGGTCATCAGGGGGATGACCAACAATGCCTCAAACCAATCAGGAGAGGAAAAATTCTGGTCACATGACATGGCAGCCTCCCACAGGGAATAAATGAGAGGACATTTTCTTGACTTCAACTCTACCATAATGTCAATTATTCCAATCCAGTTGCCCAGAGCTTACAATTCTTACACTCATAAACTTATCCTTGGTTTAGAGCAAGTTCTTACCAGTTTCTCATTTGAGAGGCTGGTATATAAAATATTCTTGTCTTCTGGCTGGGCACAATTCAGGAGCCACTTGTCAAAAGAAACTAACTTTATTTTTAGAACCACACACGCCAAACAAAACAGCTCCTCAGGAAAAAACCCTCAGAGCCCAACTGCCACCACCGGCTTCCCACAAGCCCCTCACCCCCACCAGCCTCTCCACCTCCCACAATCCTCCTACTCTTGAGGCCGATTGGCTGGGTCGCATGGGCGGAGCCAAAGAAGTCCCCCAATGAGCAGCTCCGTGGTCTGAAAGGGCAGGGAAACAGCCCAATGAGCATCACCGCAGAGGAGCCAATCAGCTAGATGTTGCTGGGGCCCCTTTGGCTGTGGCTCTCAACAATTCTTGTCTTCTTGCAGAATTAGAATATTCTGTTGGCATCTGTACCACTGTCTTTTCCAAACTCACTTCTTCTTTTCCATCATTAAAAACTCTTGATACCCATCCCCTCCATTGTGGAAGTTTTAGTATGAAAATCGGTCACGGTGGTGCTGTTTGTATTCCCAGTGGCTAGGGAGGCTGAGACAGGAGAACAGCCTGTTCAAAGTCAGACTCAGCAATGTAGGGAGAATCTGTTTTTAAATAAAATTTAAAATGGGGCTGAGGATGTAACTTAGTGGTGGAGAACCCCTGGGTTCAATCCCTGATGCCACACACACACAAAATAATCCCTGAAGGAAAAAAAAAATCTTAAGCATATACAAAAGTAGAAAATAGTATAATCAGATTTTGGCAATTGATATATTGCTCACTTTAGTTCCTTTATATACACAATCATTTCTCCATCCTTCTCATGAGCTATTTTTAAAGCAAACCCTAAATATGTTATCATTGCCTCCCTAAGTATTTATTAACCTTAAAAAATACAGATCTTTGAAAATATTATTTTTTAATAAACAGATAATAAATATATATGATGCATTTGGTCTGTTTATTATCTGTCTAGAAAAAAATAACATTTTTAAAGATCTGTATTTTTAAAGATCTGCAATAAAAAGAAAAAAAAAATAAAAAGGGAGGTTAGAGACACTCAAGAATTCTTATAAATCATCCAAGAGTTGATTCATCTCAAACCTGCTGAGTGTTCTGTAAAAGGTTCTGACTTTTTCCAGAATACTCTGGTACTTCCTAGGCAACCCTGATACCTCCCTGTTGGCTCTGCTGAGTAAGGAGAAAGTTCCCCCAGGGACAAAATCTGCCTAAAGCCATGGAGAAAAGTATCATGAGAAGCCTGGAATCTTCCCCAGATGCAGGATTGAGCTTCCCAGATGCAGGATTGAGCTTCCCAGAAGCTTCAATCTAGGTACCTGAAACTT